CTATCTATCTATCTATCTATCTATCTATCTATCTATCTATCTATCTATCTATCTATCTATCTATCTATCTATCTATCTATCTATCTATCTATCTTTATGTCTACGTCCATCTGTCTGTCAGTCCTTCCCATTTCCTATGCATATAATTTGATTGTGCGGCAAAACCAAATGGATTTGGCATCGCATAAAAGATTTATTTTTTCCTTCGAAAGCAAACGAGACATGTTGCTGATTGTAAGAGACTCATTTTGCCCTTCGAGTCGCCCCTCCCCCTCCCCTCTCATCGCAGGTGCAGGCAGATTCGCAGTCGTGCATTTTTATCTCCAACAAATAATCTAATGTTTAAAGTGGTTGTGAAAGTCCGTAGCTGTCGCTTGTTTTGCATTTTCTTTGTAGAAAAAAAAAAAAAGAAAAAGAAAAATTTACCAATTATTGAACTGTGACGCTGTTTTCACCGAGGGAATTAAGGGGCAGTAAGCTAATTATCTACACCGTGTATCTGTCTGTATGTCCAACACGCTGTCAGTCTATCCATTTATCCATATACAGTTGCTTTAAACTGTCAGGGTTATTGCAGGCTTGACCTTTCCGTGACAGTGATTATATAGTTGTTTGTGGTTAAAGTGTTGATAAGTCTGGCCAAGCGTTTCTGTCAACTCCATCTACGTCGTTCCCAGTTCCATCTCATCTGTTAAAATTATTTAACAAGCACAGTGAACTTTTCAGAACTTATTACAGACTAATGTGTCTGCGGAGAGGAGAGCACTCTTCCCCTCCATTGGGAGACGGCAGGCAGAAAGGCAGTGATGTGCTCATGTGAGAATATTAACAGCCAACTTGTTTGGAGACACTCTTATCTAAATGAAATTGGAACAAGGACAGCGAAACATTCCTTTATATAATTTGCATTTGGAAAAAGGGACCCTAGGCTCATTATTTAAGAAAGTGTAAGCTCCTTTTGTGCCAAATCTCATTAAAGCCATCCCTAGCTCCTTTGTTTACTGCCTCTAATCGAGGCATTTATCTTTATTGTGTTGTGCCGATGTATGTTTGCTGAAATTAATACACATTTGAGCCTGGGCGAGGTATGGGTGTACCAGATGGATAATTGATTTTAAAGTGAATCAGAACTGTTGAGCCATAAAATAGGTACATTAGCATGCATATTAATAAGGCAAATAAGAGCACTAAGAGGCCGCCACCAGGCCAGACACAATGGCAGGCTTCATTTAGTGAAATGGTAGGAGAGACAGCGACTTATCTCCCGCTTTCGCTCTCTTTCTTCTTTCCTCCCACTGCCTTGTTTGAAAATATTTGTCGGTCTCCACTCGCTAAGAATTTCACCAGGTAGCAGATTAACTAAGCGTGCATCTTAAAACCCGCTGTCTCTTGGCTTTATTGCGCTCTCCTTTGACACTCTATGCGCACATCTGGCTGCAAATTCTTCATTCAGTGATGTGAAGCTGGTCGTAATGCAGGACATCGCACCGGGAAAATGTTTCTGGCTTTTTCCAGAAAATGTTGAAATGAGGAAGAATGAGGAGCTATGGTATCTAAGCCAACAATTTCGCTTTGGCATTTATTCTGTTTGACAGTAAGACAGTATCAAACACATAATATCCAATATTTTGCAGACTGTGATAGCTTTTCATTGTATCATATCACAGTTCTTTTCAGACCAAACAAACAATGAGGGGTTTTTGTGAAAGCTATCCATCTGTAGCTTCCTGGTGATGACTTCTCATCAGCAGCTGATGAGGATTGTTATTTTTTTTATTTTTTTTTTGTCTGGCGTAGCCTCTGTCCTACTTCATCCATACCAGGTTAAGGTTCCCTTCACCGCCTCTCAGAGATGCATTTCTTTTTTGTCTGCGAGAGAGGGGAGAGGGTCTGGGAGAGGCATTTTCCCATTGGGTCAGGAATAAATTGAACTTTTTCATGGACAGCAAACACTGATTAGATATTTATGACCAAGGTCAACCTTTCTGATTCCAGCTGGCACAGGCTCTGAGGCATACAGAACAGAGCATCTACACACATCCTCACTCTCGTACGCACACGCATCGCCCACATGCGCTCACACAGGCAAGAATACGCATGCATGCAAAATATGCTTTCACGCCTTTATTCTGCAGACACATGCAGACAAGCGCATATATGCCATCTCTAGACGAACTCTACAGAGGCGTACCTGTATATTTTCGTCAAAACTGCAGTGCTTTACAGTATATGCATTGTTATTTTTACTATGCACGAGGCAATGTAATAAAATACCTCACTTATCTTACTCAGTCGCATGTACAGTAAGCTCAGTTAGCCGGCACTGTCTATAGGAATTTGCAGCCCTAAAATGATTATCTAGACATTCAAATGGTAATGTGTCTGCACCCACTTTATCAGAGTAGTACACAGCTAACGAGAACTGAGGACACGGAAGCCTGAAAGAGGTTTCCAAGGTCAGTTTCTGAGGTGTAGCTTACACACAATGAAGAAAGAGTTATCAAGGCTGGCTCCTGTGATTCATTTCTAGCCTAAAGGACTTCATCTTACTAGGTAATTTAGTCCAGACTTATGGTTGAAGGTGATAATAGCTTGAGGAAAACAGATAAAGACTTAGACATATACCATAATTAGAGGGTTAATTATGTTTATATTACCTTTGATGGTGCTCAAATTCTCACTGACTCACACGCAGGCTCACACGCTCACCCACCCACTCTTCTCAAATTTCTTATTTCGTCTGTATCCCGCTTCTTTGCTGCCTGTTCCCTCACACCCCGTTTCTCAATATGTTGCCCACAGCTGCTTCTGTCTGAAAACTGTCCAGCTAATTAACTGGTGGGTCTGTGGTAGTAATAAGAATCATGACAGCAGATGAACAATGCATCTGCTACTCTTAAATTTTTCTAATGACACTGGGTCCTCTTTGGGCCTCGCTGCAACTCTCCATTCACCCAGGGACTCTGCAACTTCTAAACAAGTGTGTACGCCTCACGGAAAGGTTGACTTTGGTTTGCAGAAGGCACTTTGAAAATAACATTTGGCAACTTTGATAATTCAGTAGAAACTTGGGTAATCAATCGCTAATCCCAATCATGATTTTGGCAATGCAATAGACTGCAACATTGACATTTTAAATGTATTTATAGAAAACTGCACAGAGAAACATCTGCAAAAAAGCCCATGTAGATGAAAATATCTGGTGTTTCCATCCACCTGACTGAGTTGCTGTACTGCAGTAACTGAGTGGGGAGACGAGAGGCTTCTCTGTGCACCGAGCTAGCATCTACCGACCCTGCATGTGAGACATTTCGGGAACATTGGTAAACTGTAGTGTCTGTTGAATCTTCAACAATGAGGTATACTGAGTGCAGTTTTATTTATATTTTGCCTGCTGAATTCAGGTGAAGAAGTACCTTATCTTAAGCCTTATTTTGATGCAAAGATTTGTACATTGGCAGTAATGTAGCACAACATGGAATTGAATCAGTGCTCTGTTCATTTAAATGTGAAAGGGCAGAAATAATATTCTGTACCTAAAATCTGTAAATAATTGCAATAGATAACCATGCCCTCAATATTGATCAAAATAATCATTTTGGCCAGTATTCCTCAGTTTCTATAGCTTTGGTTTATCATAGATGTTTATAATAACACTGATCATTTTTGGAATGTCTCCCTATTAATATGTTAATGTCACTGCAGTGTAAAAACAAAAAAAACTAACAAAAAAAAAAACGATCAGACAAACAAAAAAGCGTTGACCATTATCTATCAGCAGCAGATGCGCCACAGAAATAATTGGAAAATAACCATCTCAAAATTTCAACAATTAAGATTCAGTTTCTAGCCTTAACTTCACATTAGATAATGTACATTTTCTGTTTCTTTCATGTGTAAAAACAATGGAATTTCCTATGAACATGGTTGAATAATTAGTAATTGAATAATGAGTGAAATGAATGAAATGAAATAAAAAATACTTTATTTATCCCAGAAGGGAAATTCAATAATAATGTCAATTTTACTGTACAACTAATCAGGCATAATGCTGCAGAAAAGTGCTGTTATTAGGTGTTTTTTATTTTACATTTACATGTAGTGTTGCAATAAAATGTTGAAATTTTCTCCAAGAAACTCAAATCAAGTGTAGAAAATGTGCTAAAATATTTTGCTCCTAAAATCAATGAATAATTGTGAAAATCATGATTTCAATGTTGATCAAAATATATTCCTGAAAAGCAAGTGTGACCTAACTAATCCTCTGTTTCTAGTTCTGTTTTTTGCTGCTGCTGATAATAACAGCATATATGGTATCTCCCATCAAAATGTTAATATACACGAGCATAAACTTAATTTGTGTAAAACTTTTCATTCAGGAAATACGCCACATAAAATTTGCCAAGATGAGCCCATTTATTCTGTAAATGTGTTTGGATGCTTTTAATTGCCTGCATCATTAATGTTAATCAGTAAATCCATATGAAAATTATTCATAGCAAATTGGCAAAGGAGTAAAAGATTTAGCTTCATGTATGTGTTTCTATTGGCGCAATGTGATTGGTTAAACATACTTATAATTTCCACAAGGTGTTGGTTACCGTGGTAACAGATGAGATAACTGTTGTTGATAAATTATAATTAGGTTTGAATTACTGGTTAAACCGTGTTTCTAGCAGTACACAACAAACCGATACCAGGCCCGAGGTGCAAACGTGATGCAGATATCACTTACTTGCCTGCGGCAGCTTTTTGACAAGCGACTACGTATCGAGCCATATTAACACGTGAACCTATCCGCTGTGGTGAAGATGCACGGAACATAAACAGCAGCCTACTATAAAGTGTTATTACAATGAGCTGTAAAAATGCCTCAGAACTTATGGTTAAACAGAGTGAAAATGAATTAGACTCAGAGGAGCAATGGCATTATTGTAGCAGCTTATTCATGCTTTGGTTTCCCAATATTTACCAAATTTGGCAGCAACTCTCAATACTCAACCCTAATAAAGACCTAAACAAAAATGCATCATGATGAAAATGCATTAAAAAATAATAATAATGAATTGATTAGCTGCTGTGAGGCTTCTGTTGAGGTATCTGTTAAAATAAACAAGTTATTGATCCATGTAACTTGTTTAATTTAAAGAGAAACTGCGTAAAACATTAGCAGCTATATTTTAAATCACCAGGTCTGCCTCTCTTCAAAGAAAATTCTTTTACAATCTGGGCTCTTTTTTTTTTTTTTTTTAATGTGGCCGTTATTCATGTAGGTTATAAAAACATTTTACTCGCTAAATTAATCACTGACATATCATGATCTGGCAGCAGTTCTGTCCTGCAGGATAAGCAACCAGAGCAGCGTGATCAAGATTAGAGGTTAATGTAATTGTGGCAGTTGACCATTGATTGAGGGTGTTGTTTGTTGTCAAAGTGGGCACACTGTGAATGTTTTTTTTTTGCGGTAGACAATCAACATTATGAGCTATAAATACACCTCTTTATGAGGCTGGATGCATAAAAAATAAATCACTTCTTGCTTATGGCAGTTTTGTAAACAAGGCTCAGCCTTTTTTTTTTTATTATATGAAACGTATCATTTCAAAATGTGATACTTGCTCAGGCTCGTGGACGTTATTGTAGTTTTATTTTTGAAGGGTATCAAGTAACATGAGAGCCTGACAACATGAGAACACTTTGGGAAGAGTTTGAAAGCCATCCGTTCAAGATTTGTTTCCCTCCCTAAGTGGATATATAAGCAGTTGTATCATAATGTCTCTTTGGGGCTATATTTTGTGTCGCATCTTTTATAATCTCATCCCTTTTCTCTCTTCTCTCTATCAAAGGTTACCCTAATATTGTGGCAACGTATGGCCGCGGATACACTGGATTCGCACCCAGCTACAGCTACCAGTTCCCTGGTGAGTTAAAGGCTTTCTTTAAATATCAGTGTTGCAGCTGATTTCTGTATTTCCTCCCCTCTCCAAGCAGCACAATCAGACACAAACACACACGCTCGCCTCCACATACACAGATGATCATCAATACACGCGTCAGTCACCAAGTAATCTGCAGGGTTATAAGTAAGCGACGTGTCTGGCTTTCCGAACGAGGGTTTGAAAGCTGACATATAGTGAAGTAAATTGCTTACTCCTTTTTATCCCATACTTGAACACTACCATGACCAAATGTCTAAAATGGGAGAAGTTCTTCGTCTTCACTGGCCCAATGTATGCAAATTCATCTGTGGAGAAGCGGAAAAATAAGCAGCGCTTTGTGTAGGCAGATTTTAAAATGTGGTTCTTATAATGGAAAATGAATGAAGTCATTTTCTGCATTAAAAGTGTTGACTCAGAGTGCCGGGCACTTTAATGGGAGTCCAAATGGGAGGCGTGCAGTCTGGAGGTGAGCAGCTGTACCTGTCTGCTGCTACAGGGCCTGTGGCTCTGCGGTGCCTCACTTAAACAGGCGTCCTGTCAATTTCATGCTTTATTTAGGGACTTTACACATACTTTGTTTGCCATGCCAGACATCATTCCTTCCACTGATAAGACGGAATAGGAAATATCTGACAGCAGCTCAGATCTCTGTAATATCTTTGTGAAATAGATTCAGGAATGGTAAGACAGGAGGTCCAGCTGTGACCACCTACAGATCAGACATATGCAAGTTTTATACTTGACCACATTTTTATTTGACAGAAGAAAAGGAATAAGACCTGCTCGTCTGTGCGGATGAACACGAGAGGCATACAGATGTGGTCTGTCTTTTCATTCATTAAAAATGACTCCATTTAGGGATATGATTTGATAACTAATTGATATAAATGTGAATCAGACCAACAATCAAAGGAATTGTTTATGTGTGCGGCACACATCTGAGATGAGATTTTGAATTTGCCCAAAGGAGCATTTATCAGCCCTTCATAATCTGCGAAAGCATCGTAACGTTTATGAATTGCATCGGCAGAACGAGAGCGAAGGGACTGAAAGGGAAAGGAGCTCTGAGTATTTATTCTGTATAAGTAACTCTAGTTAAACATGGATTTTTAAAATGTTTACTATTTACGACAAATTAAGGGATATCACCTTCCCCGAGGCAGAATGTATGATCCTGTCCATGTTAAACTCAATTTAAAGAGTTTGATAAAGCTGTATGATTAAAACAGCCTCCTCTGGGCTCGCTCAACTCTTGACAGGTAATTGGAAATTTTAATGTATGAATCAAACTCCTTGTCCAAATTAAATAACCTCAGGCCAAATATTGACTAGTGTCCTTCCTTACTAAGATGTGGAAAGCATCCTCAATTTAAGATCAAAGGATTTTTTTCTCACTGTACACAGCCTCGATGAAACACTCCTATAAATAAATGGAGCTGGGACCAAGCAGGCTGGATCCAAAAGGTATAAATTGCAGGCAGCATTTCAAGGCATCTTGTCTTTTTTTTTTTTGTTACACCAAGCAAACCTCAGGGGTCCACTGTTAGCAGGAAAAAGAAAAAAAAAGTGGTTCGGCAATTGTTCAATTGTCAAGATAAAACACTGATAAAACATTGATCAGTGATGAAACACTGAATTAAGTACAAAAACTCAGTAAGACATGCACAGAAAAAGAGAAATCAAAGTTGGCATCTCCGCAGCTGAAGCGGAGTTCAAGTGTACAAAACAGAACCTGAAACAGAGGTGAAATACCCAACCTGAGCAACGGAGGGGCACACGGCAGCGTTCGGTGCAGCCAGTTAGATCCGAAGCCGACACCAGCTCAGCAGCTGTTTAACAGCATATGACACTCCCAATTAATTCCGACATTGATCACAGAGCATTTGATATCGATCACATGTTTGTGTCTGTATTTGTCAGCCGTGAGTTGCTTACAAAACGGTTCCATCACAGCACAGACATCATCACTATTTAATGCACTTAGAGGGCTTTGCATATTACTGATACAGTATAAATTAGGGATGTAAATCAGATCATACCCTATTTGTCAAAAAGTTGTCCATGCACGCGAGCATACATCAGAGCATTCACCCAGAGGGAGAACTCAGACGTGGTATTTATTAGCGTTTGAACTCGTGGTTATTGTAAAATTATTTGTGGCGGTACTCACAAGTTGCTGAGTCACTGAAAAACAAACAAAACACTGTCAACAGACGCCTTTCTGACACTGATGGGTGTTGTTGTGTGTACTGGCTGAGTAATATTAAAAATACATACTGTACATTCTATAAAATGAGAAACATAAGCGATGTCCTGTTAGCTCTTGATCACATTTGGTGTTGGAGATAAATCACCGGCCCTCGTGTTGTTTATGTTGAGCGTTGGAGCGAGCCTCGTCTCTACCAGCAGGACTCAGATGCATGCCACAACCACGGAGGTGGCATGACAGATACATGACACATCTGCAGACCGCAAAGAGCGATAATAGAGTTGCTGGCAGAAATAATGTGCCTGTAAAAGAGGAAGAAGGCTGCAGATTTTGCGGCATCAAAAATGCAAAAAGGCATTAGCCAATGTTTCATGAGGCAGAAAATACATCCAGCCTGCACACAATTCTGTTTGATAAGAAACGCTGAATGGAAACTAAAGTCTTTTTTGGTTGCAAAGAAAGAGCTACAGGCTACCTGTGTTTCATCAAATATGTTGAAGGTTAAAAACATTAGCTGCAAGTTCAATATTATAACGTCCTGCAAGATTTACATTCCCTTTGAAATATTAAATCATATAATCAAAATCTCTTCTTTCTCTTGGCACATACAGACCAGACATTTGTGTTTTTTTAAAGAAGAGCCCAGAACAAATCCCTGCACACGTCTTAAGCATATGTTTACCCCTTGTTTAGTCTTACAGAATGTATTTATACCGATAAAGGAAAGTGTTTGATTAAGACGCCTTCTCTGATTTTTGCTCAGTTTTAAAATTCTAAGCTGTGTTTTATATGCACTGCTGTAATTACACACTGTTTGCCTCGTAGCAGCATAATTTCAGCATTGTGCTTGAACTTCACATTGAATTCAAACTTAATTTCGGAGACAATGCTGTATGCCGCATGTGCAGTGACAATCAAGGAGACTGCAATGTTTATCATTACCTCAGAATTACAAGTGGTAAAGAGGTGCAACAAATTAGCGACATCCTGAGAACAACAAGTCTTTTTTTTGTGTGTTTTTCTTGTTCATCAGAGATTTTCTTTATGGTAGTGGATACAATTACTTGATTGTTTATTATGTTTAAGTAATCAATTCGCCGCTGCTTTTGTCGGAAGGGTTAGTCTGATGATGACTTTTAACAGTCATACCTGTCTGATCTGGGAAAACAAACTGAGCTGTAAGCTTATATGTTATCTCTTTTATTCACAATCAGTTTACTCAGTTTTAGAGAAATAAAATGCTCATGTATTTTCAGGCGTTCAGTAATGTGACATGTGTGAATGTTACACAGATAGAATAAAAAATAAGACAACTCTGGCCCCTGTGAGGGATGCGGTTCCAGTCTTAAGATGCTCCTTTGTCAATATATGGATCGCAGACTTTTCTGATACGGTCGGGAAGAATTCCATAGGTTACGCTTGTCGACATTCGATACCAGACAGTGGAAAAAGAGTCTTGTGTTTACTGTCATACTATAAATAAGCTGTCACTCTCCTGTTTCTGTGTGACATGGAAATGCTACACAAACTCTGTCTATTGCAACCAGCAAAGTGCTTAATAGTGTTTTATTTTTTAAGGTGATAAGAGTCATAGCAGTTTTTTACCACATTTCTCGTGGTGACAAAAGATATCACACTTCCTCAAATTGTGCTGATGCGCCGACAGGATTTCGATGGCAAGCAGTGGTGTTGTCAGATCCGACTTTAATGTATGCATGCAAATATGGCATTGTGATATGTCAGTGTTGTCATGTTGCTGTTTTCTGTGTGAATGTAAATATCCCCACTGTTTAAAATGAAGAGCCCTGGGTTTGTGTTGAGATTGTAACTAGATTTAGCCTAAACCACTCGCTTCACTCTTGGGCTGTAGCTGAATGTCCATTTTAATTTTCAGTCCCTAAAGTAGCCTCACTTAGATGTGCTCTTTGCTTTCACCAAGAATCATTTATACACATGCCGTGCTCTCAGAGAAAATAGTTCAGCTCTGTAACGCCTGTTTCTGGAGTCTTTTCCCTGGCATGTGTGACACTGCTGCTTTCATCAGTCTGTTAAAGTGACGGCATTCTGTCATTCAAACATAGGTCAGTTTTTATTAGTGTTCCTTATGGGTTCACTCAGACAGGCTCAGGAAGCCCTTGGAGGCGTGCTTTATTTGCCATAAATGTAAAATTGCGTAGTATATCAAGGTTTAAGGAACTTCCAATATACAAAACACTCAACCTAAACTAAAAGCAAGCCTGTCAGAACAGAGGGCAGAAATGGTCAGGATCTACCGACTCATGACATTGTGTAGGTTTCTTCATTCAGCAGGTGAGCCGTCACACACAGAGTCACAGTTTATACGTTACAGTTAAATTGTTTGTTAGACAGCAGCAGTCCTGGGATCTTGAGCTCCATCACAGCTGTTGGGATGTTATGTTGCTATAAAAGTCACAACCACTCTTTTTTCTTTTTGTTTGTTTCACAGTCTCACAGCAGGCTATTTGCAGTAAGTAGTCAAGTTTTTTTGTTTGTTTGTTTCTTACCCCCGATCAGGTCCTCGTCATTTAATATTTATTGTCTGCCGAGATCAGGTCCTAACATGATCATTTTCTAGATAATGCACACCTCAAGTACATTAAAGTTATTAAAAATAATTAAGAAAAACTTACTTTTCTGCACATACAACCACCAAAAGATGTCATCAACCTGTATTCTCTACATGCATGTCAGAACATTTAAGGGACATTAGCTGTAGTCTTGTTTAACGCTGTACTGACTCTCCAGTTAGTTT